AGAACTTTATCACAATATTCTAATTTTCTGAGACAGTCCTGTACAAGAGCAAACGAACGCTTCACTTGGACCGTGTGAGGTCAGGGATTGAGGCTCTAGGATTGAATATTCTGAGGGTGAAAAAGGTGCAGCAGAGGTGGAGCTGCCCTGACTTTGGCCTGCATTAAACCTCATGCTGTAAAACAACTATAACGCCCCACAACTAGAGATCCTTTAGCAACATCGGTTTTTGAGTGAAACAGGCAAAGGACAGCACTGCCATCTAGAGGTCTCCAACCCTCTGCCCATAAAACGGTCCCCGTTCCCCACAGCGGGCAGCTGTCAGCAGACCAGCAGGTGGTGTCCACATGCCAGGGCAAAAGCCTGCGCATGTGTGCGCATGTGTGTCTGTCTTATATACTGGAGCTAAACGTCCAGAAACCACCCCTGAAAAACATCGGAACTCACTTTGGAGCTGCCTGTAACATTAATTAGCCAGAATTACTGCACCATAATCTCTCTCGCGACCGGTTGGCGCTCAGATCTGCGTCCAAACCTTAAGTGAAAAAAAAAAAAAGAAGCAGCGTGCGCCTGTTCTGGTCCAGACCCAGGTGAGGCCTTATTAGAGCGGGCTCGGGGCCCCGCCCTGCGAGTGCTGTGTAAGTGCTGTCAGATGCTAATAAAGCGGTGAGTGAGAGGCAGTCGCAGCAGGAGAGCAGCTTTGTAGAGCCCTCTGGACACCAGCACTGAGTGGAGAGGCTATTCGGCGTAGGTCTAGAGTTAATCCTTTCCATTCCGTGTTCTGGCGTTTTGAAGAAGGAGAAGGAAAATACATTTAGGGCAGATTTTGTGGTTTCAGCCGATAGGCGGAGACCGACGGCCCTTGAATAAAACACAGTGACTTTTAATAATAAAACATGACATTACAATTGAATCATTTCCAAATGTTTTTTTTTTTTAATGAGTCCTGTTGAAAACAAAAGCACCACCCCTACTTGTTGCACCTGAAGAACAATAAAATTGGAATCTGGGGTTCCTGATGCCTTTCGTCTCTTGCAAATGAGACGATTATTCACAAGTGACAGTGTTGTAAATGTTGTGATGGTTAATGCAAAACGTCACATGAACAAAGAGAGAGAACCATCACGTCAGGCGACTGCTGTGAACTCTCTTAAGTCTTGGTGTCTAAGACCTGCTTTTGCTTAAAATGCAGTACTTCATCAGATAAAGGCGTGAACTGGAACTGAGTTATACTACGAGGTGAAACCAGAAAATAGTGCACCAGGGAGACACCAGGGGTTAAAGGAAGGTACGGTCAAGGCAAAGCCCAAAGAAAGTTGTTCAGAGATATGAAGCATGCTTCTTCTTTTTTTTAAAGGGGAAATAAGTGCAAACTGAAGGGATTTTGCATGGAAATAAATCTCACCCAAACAGTTAAAATAGTAACATAGTCGTTCTCTCACTTTTTTATCGGGACATTTGTGGGGAATACAAACCAGGCCTGAGAACTAGATCTTAACAA